CCAAGCCAAACCCAGGCCCAGTGAGTGTGTGGGAGAGCTTCCACACTCTGTTTTGCCTCTCCTAACCCAGCCCAGGCCCACTTGTGATTGAGTCCTTCTGTCCTACTCTCTGGATCCCTCCAGACCCAGCCCAGACATGGCATACAGACCTGGGGTGAAACTCTGCAGCTGAAGTCCCTGCAGAGAGGTCTAGAGGCCAGAACCACCCAGCTAATCCAGGAGCAGAACATCTTGCCAGAGGGGCATAGCAGGTTCACTTCCACAGGCTACAGCAGGATGAAGCTGAGCATAGCAGCCACACCCAAGCCAGGCACAACTGGGTGAATTCAAACTTCATAGATCTGTACCAGGTAAATGGAGACACTTGACTAGACCCAGATCTATAAGAGCATCATCCCTCTTTCTCTCTTGACTGAGAGAGGGGGCAAAAGGTAACCTGGATGAACTAGTCTGCCTGGAAAACACCAGGTACATGAAGGGGAGCGATCACACAGAACTTAGTGGAACTAACTTAAATACAAATTCCCAATTTAATATCTGCTTAGCTGTACAGACATAATGATTGCTCTTACTGTCTAAAATACAAACCCATTAGTTACAAAAGTTTGTCAACTGCTTAATATCATTACCCATTATTAGTGTTCCTTATTGTAGTTCTGTAAATACAAAACTATAACTGCCTTCATCATATAATCTCTTTTGGGTAAGAATATCAGTAGGTGCTAAGGTTATAACTGCACCAACCTCTACAACAAAGGTCAGAGGACCGCACTATACAAAATGACAAAGAGAAGGAGCAAAATGCAATCTCAGGCCCTGAGTCCACCCAGAACAAGTGCAGAGGACACTAGCACAGAAGAAACTGGGAATCACACAGCTGAAATATCTGAATTAATAGCATCTGAAGTAAAGAAACAACTGCAGAAAAGTATAAAGAAACTCAGATCAGAAATAACCTCTGAAATAAAAAAAAATCTCTGAATTAATAACATCTACAATAAAGAATCAACTGTGTAAACATATCGAGGAAATCAGATAAGAAATAATCTCTGAAGTAAAAAAGAAAGAATAACTATAATGAAGAATTAATAACTACTTCTCAAGAAGACACTGATAAAAAATTAGAGGATATTAGAAAAATGATGGAATCCTTGAATAAGAAATATAGGGAAAAAAATAGATTGCATGAAGCAGAGTCAAAGAGATAATAGAGGATCTTAAAATCTCAATCATGAGCTTGAAAAACCATTTGAGTGAAAGTGAAGATAGATTTTCAGATCTTGAAGATGCCATTGCAGCTAGTGAAAAGGTAAGAAAGGATCACTTAAAAACAACTAGGATGCAGGAAAAAATAATCCATCACCTGCAAGATGATGCAAAGATGAACAATGTGAGACTAATAGGCATCAATGAGAAAGAAGGAGTCAATAAGAATGCTATAAAAAAGAATATGGGCAGAAGCAAAAGTAAAAAACTTCCCAAATATGAGGAAACAATCTGACATTCAGGTAACCAAAGCATACAGAACTCCAAATAATATCAATGTAATTAAAAACACACTGAGACATATAATAGTCAAGATCCCAGAAATTCAACACAAGAATAATATACTGAAAGCTGCTAAAGAAAAGAAGCAGATCACATTCAAAGGAAAACCCATCAGAATTACGGCCAACTTGTCTTCACAAACCATGAAGACAAGAAGAGTATGGAGCAGAGTACTTCAAGTCCTCTGTGACAACAACTTCCAGCCCAGACTACTATACCCTGCAAAACTCTCTTTCAAGTTTGATGGAGAAGTGAAAT